AAGAGTGTAATCGAAGAGAAAGTGTAACAGATGAGAGAGAATAACAGTGAAGAGAAAAAAAAAGTTATTTTTATATAATTATATTAAATTAAAAAGTAAAGGGTATTTTTGCAATTGTCCTATTAAATTGTATAGAAATCATTTCTTTTGCCGTCTTGTGCAGATATTTTAGTTATGTCTAATTATTATCATTATAGTCGCTATACCGCCATGAAAAAAACTAGATTAATGCATAACCTCTTATTGACTGCATCAATGATAGCTCACGCTATCGAAAACTTCACTTATGTGTTCCTCTATAATTGTTGTATGGTCAACACAAAATTACAATTCTGATATTTTTTTTTATGATAAGAGTGAGTATAGAAATGTATTTATATAATGTATCAAAGAGGTCACACACGCATATTTTTAATCAGGGTTTCATCAATTATCCCAATATACATATGTACGTGTATATAGAAATGTGTTTATATAATGATCAAAGAGGTCACATACGCATATTTTTAATGTTTGAATTTTAGTATGGACAAATAATATAAGGGATCATTGAGTTACAATGATTTGCTTCTATAATTCATAAAAATGTTGCGGGGGTGAATTCACATTATTTGGAGGCGTGTAGAGAAACAATCAGCCGAAGGAAGCGGCAAATTAGAGGGGGCAAAGTCGTGGCGTATTTTAGCGCAAATCATCGATTATCATTGTGTTTGTGTTGCTTTTGATAACCAAATCTCCCAATAATTAGGGCAGGAAAAAGAAGAATTGGGTGGCAGATCACATGCGTAAGCGTAAGGTCTCTATGCAACGCGAGCATCCTCTTCTTCCTTTAAGTCAACCACTTCAATTATTCCCTCATTCTCTAATTACTACGCCGTCGTCTCCATTCTTCCGTTTGTACTTGGATTTTGGGATACATTTTTGCGTATTTCTTCATATACATGTTTCTGTGTTGTTTTCTTAAATTGGTTGATGTGCTGTTTTTAATGGATCTCTCTCTGGTCCAAGCGACCAAACTTCTGTGTACAAGTTTTGTAGCTTTGGGACGAGAATCTTTTTTCTTTTTCTTTTTCTTTTTTTTCTCACAATGGTGGGAAAAAAGCCTAAATTAATGGGAGGAAAAACGAAAATCTCCCGTGAATCAAACGTAATTAACATGGTGAAGAAAATTTAATCAAAAGACTACAAAATCCAGTTAGATGCTCTGACACGTGTTGCGTGACAATAGGGCGGTGAATCACATGTATAGCTTCTTCCATTATTCAATCCTCCCACCGTACCGACGGCGTACCCCTTTTCCACCACACCGCCCGCATTAACGTCCAAACCCTAACCCGGTTGGGTCGGGTTGGGTCATGACCCGGTCAAGCGTATTTAGCCTTGGAAATCCAACCCCATACCCAATCTAAACATGGAGCCCCATCCAATCAAAATTTTCCACGTGGGTACTCCCTATTGGCTCTGCCCCTGGAATCCAATGGGACCTTTTTCGGTAGTATAAAGCGCCCACTCTGCACCTGTCATCCCCCTCGCATCACTCTCTCTCCCTCTCTGCCCCAAACCCCAACAAAACAGCACCAAAAGGAAGACAACAGAGAGAGAGAGACCGAGAAAATGGCGCCAAAATCCCTAGCTTTCTCGGGGATCGCTCCGTCTAATTTCGCCGTGTTTCTGGTTGCAATGCTGCTTTGTTCGCGGCCAATCAGAGCCGGCCACGACTACCACGACG